ATTAAAATGATTGACAACAACACAATTTTGTGTCTTCACTTAAACTTCAGTTTTAACTAACAACATAAAAAAATTTCATGGGCAATTATAAAACATGCATGTCTTGCAAGCAAGAACCATAAGTTTTCTTAGTTATTAACCATTTCTGGCTTTCACCTAAACAACCATTATGGAAAGAATTCTGTTTTACCATCAAAGGTTTTTTCAATGGGAATTAAAAGAAATACCATTCAGAAAACCAATTACGTTTCCAGTGAACATCGATTAATCGACAGTCCTTCAACTAGCTGGGATAGTAAACAAGACGTCTATTTGACAATAGCCTGCGAAAACATCCGTTTCTTCTCTCTGCGACTCAGCGACAGAAATTCCATTTTGATGACGTAAAATCTGTTCGGAATACGGTCAGAAGCGCTGACTGGTCGACGGAGTGAGTCTATCTTTTTGTCAAGGGTCGAGGGTTGAGGGTTCCATGTCGAGGGCGAGGGTTCCATGTCGAGGGTCGAGGGAAACACTTTTTTTCTAATTTTTTTTTTTTGGAAAAGTTAATGATCGATGCAATCAATATCATTAAAACAAATAAGAAGAATTTAAAAAACAAATGGCGCGTGAACATCTTCTAGTTGTTGGGTGGGTGGGGAGGGGGGGGGAGGGGTGGAATAGAGAAAAGCTCCGGGACATCCCAATTTGTTTTCGAAGAATTACATTTATAACACCCCGGAAACCCATACCACAAACGGAACACGTTACTTGAAAATACTGATTTTAAAAAAAAATGTTGTAAACAAAATTTAAAATGTCGTAAAACAAGAATGAGTGCGATGAATTATGAATTTCTAATCCAACCAACAAGAATGGAAGGAAAAAACTCTTATTGCGTTGTAAAATGTGTCATAAAATGTGTCATAAATGAACAATGCAATCGTTGAAGTCTATCTTTTTGCAGAGCTCTTAAAGTGCGCGAACTCGCATGGAAATCGCCACCCACTAACGCAGAGGTTTAAAATAGAATAATGCCTGGTAGCGACTTTCGGTGAGGTGAACATCGGCATTTGCCGACGCTTTCCCATTAAAATACAATATATCTTTCTAGGCCACAATCGGTCATATTTATTTGTGAACGTGGACGTGGTGGACGTGAAAAGGAAAAAAAAACAGACGTACGGCTATGTCTCCCATTGATCCAATTAATTGTTTTACATTTGACACATTTCTACTAAAGATCCGTTGTTTTGCCAAGTTGGACATGAATAGGAAAAAACGGAGTACTGCGATAATGCCGTTTATCTTGAACCGTGAATACAAGTTTTTTATTCCCGAAAAAAAATCGACTGTGTTGCAAATTCTGTTTAACTGTTTGAAATGTTACAATGTCACACAAGGCCATTCCTGTACAATTTTTCTGTCGGTCGGGCAAGAAAAAATGGCATTGGGTTAGTGGAGTGATTTTTGGTTCTGTTTTGAGGATATTTTCCCTGGTATTTCAATTCAAGCTTTCTCTGTGATCTATTTTTCCGTGGTTTCTGATGTAAATTTACTACTTTTAACATCATGCAAGAAACTGAACAGTGTATTCCAAGTCTGTCTTTTGCGGAATTTTTTTTTCTTTAAATATTCATATAGTGTACACTCTTTTTTTCTTTTTTTGAAAGTTCGCATAATCGGTCTGCTTCGATCTGATCGCTGTTCGTGAATAAAAGCTCCCCTTTTCGTGCAAAATAGGAAATAATCGCTGAAGCCGTTGTGAAGAAAGTTTTTGCGAAGACACCTCTGATTTCTGTTTGAAATGCACACTAGGGGTAAAGATGTGTACAAAATTAGTTTCGCCACATGACTTCCTATTGTCCCAGTGCCGCCATCAACTTTGCCGATAAGTGTTGGTTTAGCGTTCCTTTTGTGTTTCAGGATGTTTCAAATTTCTGCAGTGATACAATTTTTAAGCTGCAGAACGTTGGTAATTAAAGGAGTTTATTATTGCTGCGCGACTCGGGCGATAGCATCAACCATCTAAATTCCCCAACTACGCCCCCTGACACAAACAAAACACAATTCGCTTTTTGGCACGGAGAGAAGTTTATTAAGGATACGAACAAAAGTAAACAACAGCAAACGATATGCCTAATAAACCTCTCTGCCACCCTATAACATCAAATGAAATCACCCAGGGTGGGAGGGTGGGAAGAAGAAACGAAATAGTATGGTGCAAAACTCTGGTATACACTCGAGGTAAAAACTAGCCTGCGTAGCAAGCGTTTCCTCGCGAGGTTCGTCTAGAAAGCTGGGACAAGAGCAAAAAAAAAAAATGAATGACGGAGGAGGGGGAGGGAAATGAAGGAACTCCCCCTCCCCCTTCAACCTTTTTTTTTGCTTCCGCTCTAACTTTCGCGCAATAACTCGATTGGAAATGCTTGCTACGCAGGTTAGGTAAAAGCTGACTCGAAATGAAACACGAAACTCCTATCACCTGATACTAAAGGGTGTGTGTTGCACAATTAATCCCTTTGAACAAGTGCTTGTCCAAAGGGGGCAAATTATCACTCTAGCTACGCAACTACGTACCTAGGTCACGATTTCCGGTGTCGGTGATTATCGATGACTTGTATTTTAAAATTTCATGGCGAGTTTCTACTTCATTGAAAGCACGACAATTTGGTCGCATACAGTGGGATAGCTTAAAAAACAAGAATCGGTGAAATATCCATATTCAAACTACCCCAATGAACAGCCAAGCAAGGCAGAGAAGAGGCAGACGTGACTGAAATATAATCCGCGAAACAGGGGCACCCAACCACGGTTACCTCCTAAATGCATTGAAAACACTTTTTCGCTTATCCAGAGTACTTTCAAATCTCTAGAAATGCATTCTAAGCGGTGCTATAAAAGTTGTATCTGTTCAGTCATCCTAAGGCAACTTGAATCTTTTTGAAATCACTTAGGGCCTCAGTATTATTTTCCCGAAAATTTTAGATGCAATTTTAGGTTTTACGAAAGTGAGAATTTTTCTGATTCCTCTCTCCATCGCATTTTCTAATCCGAAAATTTTAGATTTCATTTTCCTATGAAAAATAGGCTAAGTTGGGGACTGAAATGTGAAAAACTTAACTTAGAAAATCGTAGGGAATTAATTAGATAAGCTACGAAAACTGTACATGAATGGAACGGCCATCTGGAAATTTTTAGCCTTCCTCAAGTAACAGAAAATTGTAGGCAATTTTTCCTTCTCCGAACAGATATTTTACAGAAAACAGTCGTTCGGTGCGCCTGCCTAGGCTCTATGACATTTTTTTTTAGGCACAACCTGTCTACCTTCACAGGAAGGGAGAAGGTTCTTTACTTTTAAGCGAATTCAAATGTCCACTTACTATTTTAATGAAACAACAACAACAACAACAACATCATATTTTCTTTATGGATGTCCCAGAGCTTTTCTCTATTCCCCCCCCCCTCCACCCAACAACTACAAGATGTTCACGCGCCATTTGTTTTTTATATTCTTCGTATTTGTTTTAACAACATTGATTGCATCAATTATTATCTTTTCCAAAAAAAAAATTGGGGAAAAAAAAATGTTACCCTCGACCCTCGACATGGAACCCTCGACCCTCAACAAAAAGATAGACTTCCACGGAGTAGTTGCATTGTTTTAGCTATTGTTTACGAATGACAGACAAAAGACAAAAGGCCACAAAGGTCAAACGCAAACGCGAAGAATCTCTAACAAAACAGTAAATGTTTGTGGAACATAGTCTTCTCTAGGAGAAGCATTTGAGTTTTGCTGGAGCTCGTTAGCCGATGAACACAACACTTTACCGAAATCGACCAGAAGACACGTAAAATTGGACAAATTTCTTTTTGGAACCCCATGACTGCCGGATTTATTTTGTAAACACTGATTTGCGTCATCAGTATGGAATTTCTGTCGCTTAGTCGAAGACGTTCCTCCGCGCGAAACGTCCCCAGCGGCGAAGAGCGAGGAGAAACGGATGTTTTCGGAGGCTAATTTGACAAGGACACCAACGTTCCTTTCAAAGCAAGCCAAGACGAAACACAAATATTCACAGGGGAGCAATTTCCTCCCATGAAAGACAACAGCAATACACAATCATCATTTGTTTTTTTGAGGCGACCCAGTGACGCGACGCATGATAAGTGCAAACTGACACCTTTGCGTGCAGAGATAGAAATGCATAAATGGCACTGATTTACACAAGAACTCTTCAATTTAGTCCAGTTTTACTCATTTTTGCCTTGGATTCAAGCCTACTAAGTATTTATAAAGTCAAATTACTGCAAAAATGACAAAAACGGTCCCCAATTACGAGTTGTCTTCGCTGTACATGGCATGTGTGTTAGGCACAAGGTAAAAACGATTTCCAACATTAAACATCTACTTTTCCCCTGGGTTTGAGCATTTCTACAAACTATTTTACCTGTAATCTTGAATGAGTCCCTTTATGCCATATTCTAGCTCTGGACTTTCAGCTCCTGCAAAGCAGAAAGCCCACATGCTTCCGCCCTCGACTCTCTGCAGATCATGCTCGGTAACAGCTGTCGATATCACCTTCCATCACCTGACAGGACGAGAGCCGCGGGGTGTCAGCGGATTGTCAGCGGAAGTCAAAATGCTGGAGACTGGAAGCTACTCCTGTTTCTTGTTTTGTTTTGGCGCTCAACATGATTTTTGAATGCGATGAAAGAAGGCAGTTTGTTATTCCTCAAATTTTGAAAGGTACGAAGAGGCAGCTCTTGTACGATTCAAGATAAACAAATCGTAATTAGACGTGATTACGTGTAGGTTGTGAGGATATCCATCCATCTACAATGTTGTACCCAGCTTAAGCTTATGCAATGCGATGCAATGCGAAATCACACGCATATGCAAGCTTGCATATTCAGATAATCCTGTAAGCTTACATATTGATGTATAGGCTTTGGATAAAAAGGTTATTCGTATTTTGAATTTTACTAGACATTTTGCTGCCTGAAATCTGTCGACGGTGATGGAAGAAACTGTCAAACAAGAATTGTCAGTGTTTTTACACTGCCAAATATCCGCAGAATCGTTAAGGTAGGTTGCTTTTCTGTCCTGTAAACGTTCATTGCAAGTCCTATTCCGTAACGATCTACTAGGTTGTAGCCATCAGCTTTACAAATTCATCCAGTAGTTCGATCTCCTTTATAACATTTTCCTTCGAAGTGTATCACTAACCGAACTGTATCAATAATTAATTTATTGAGATTATATTAACAGGCGAATTTGAGACTATCAAAGCCGAGAGAAAATAAGAGCCAGCTTAGCCTGTTCCAGGGTTCAGATCGTGGGGACAGCAAAGAGAGATGTGTCCTCCTTTTTTTCCTTGCTCTCTTAATACAGTGAAACCTTTATAAAGCGGACACCCTCGGGCAATGCTGTAGTGTCCACTTAATGCAGGGTGTAGGCCTAATACAGGTTTCGATGGATAACATTATACGAGGTGTCAAATGCCATTCAAATGAACAGTGGAAATTTAGAATACTCCCAGAGACTATGACAATATACGTTTGCAATTTCTTTATAAATTTAACCCATTCGCTCCTGGAGATTTTGCTGAAAAACACGTTTTGAAGCTAGTCGAGTGGTTTTCTGGTCACTGTCGTGCTATAAAGAGCTAAAACTTACCACAAACCGGTTTACAGGTTGTACACTTCGCGGCCTTCTGATCCAGAGGCAAAATATCAGCTTGCGAAGTTCGGGCATGCGCAGAAAGCAAAATTTCGAGATAGTTTTGGGTTTAAAAGTGACAGAGCAGTCTTGACTTTTACTTTTCGCTTTCTCTCCTCCCTTCTTTTTTCGCTTTTCTTGCCTCATTTTTTTTTCTCTTGCTGGGCATTTAGTAGGCTTCATTTTGGTTGGAAGAGTTTTTAGGAAAGCTTTTAGGATCTTAGGATTAGGTGAAAGCAAAGGTAGGTGAGCAATGGAACAACTAAAAGTACCTCTAAAAGTCCAGTTACAGTGCACCAAAAAACGAAGAAAGAGGCCACACCTTGACTGAATTGTGCTCATTCTGGTATGGTTTGAAAGATCTCTTCACTCTACACAAGTTGCCGAAGAAAGTTGCCCTTGAATGTTAAAACTAATGACGTCACAAAGGGTAGAAAGGACCTCTATCCGCACGGGCGGTTACGGGCGGTTCAGGGGCGAATGGGTTAAAAGAGGACCAATAATTGATCATAGTACCATAAACAAAGATTGCAACTCAAATTTGAAGAACTCAGATAAGCGAAACAAGCTCTACACAAACAAAATGAAATAGAAAACAATACTGTACTGTGAAACTAATCAAGTCATGTCTTTTAGTGTAAAAATTGAAAAATTTGTGAGTGGCAATCTTTTGCATTTCCAGTGTCTGGCATGTTGGGTGGTGGAATTTAATCACAAGTGTCTGTTAAATACAGGTTGGCAACAATAGAAATGACCATTTCAAGTATTTTTTAGGTGTCCGTGTCCCCTTTATAAAGGTTTCATTTAAAGTAAATAAGGGAAATAAATTTGGGGACTTCGGCTACTGTCCGCTTAATACAGGTTTCACAGTACTTTGTGCCGCACTCCAATATCTGAACGCCTGGAACAGGCTAGAGCCAGCCTACCTAGCTTAGGAAAACAGCCATCATTCCTCACTTGTCGTCCCTAGCTATAGGAATGTCACCAGGAGAGATGTCCGTGACTCAGCGGCAGAAATTCTATATTGATGACATAAAAACTGTCCAGAATTTGGTCAGGAGCTCTAAGTGTATATAATTGTAGCTATTGTTTACTAATGACAGACATATGGCAAAAGTCCACAAAGGTAAAATGTAAATTCAATAAATCTATAAGAAAGCTGATTCTCATAAGAACACAAAACCTTTAGTTACCAAAATGGACCAGAAGAAACCTAAAATCAGACAAATTTACATTTGGAACCGTAATTACTGCCAGAGCAATAAATTATGTAGTCATTGATTTACATCATCAGTATGGAATATCTGTTACTCACGCGCAGCTGTCTCTTTGGGTGAAATGTCCCTATGGAGCAAGGCAAGACAACTGCTTTCACAGGCTAGAGTTAGCCTGTTAAAAGCCTTTTGATGTAGAGAATTCCAGTCAGTAAATATTTTTGCGGATTGAGGTGATAAGCCAACAACTTCTGATGAACATGTTCTTTAATGAACAGTTTACACTACCATACAAGAAGATAAACTGTCCCATACCCCTTTGTCCCGAGTTTAATTTATTAGCTTTTATTTACTTTTTCTAAAATCTTCCAGGTTTTCTCAATTCCTTCCTTAAGTTAAGTATAAATTTCTGGATTTCTTTGCAATATGTCTCAGCTTATTCATTTAAATTCAATTGAAAGTGTATAAATGGATGCTTTGCTTTTAGGCTTGGTTAAAACCACAGTATGTGTTATTTAATTCTGTTTGGGTTCATTCCACATTTATCCTGATGGTTTTCAAATTGAACACCCTCTGATCCTTTTGTCTTTTAGCTGCATCGATGACATTGTACTTGGATACATAGTTAGTGTACTGGAGCAACTTGGAGAAGATGAACAATTTGATGAGGAAGAGTTTGCTGAAATAATGGATGCTTACATTCCAGGCTTTGATACAATCAACAGGTTGTTTTTCTGACAATAATTCATGTACCAGTATTTGTAATGTTCTTTATCATGTATCTTTACAGCACTGTATGAGTGATAGCTGCTCAAGAAAATAAAAAAAAGACAAGGCTGTGCTCTTGCTGCACCTGGTGGCCCCTGGTGCCTACATCTAACATTAATTTTTGTAAAAGCCTAGTTTTTCCATGGAAATCAGATGCTGCCCACCCTGGTATTCACAGGCTCAGAGGACTGGGCTCCCTTCAATTTTTCTTGGAGTACAGCCTTGAAAAATAAAAAACATTGAAACATTCATGCATGAACAGACCATTATTAATCTTGCTTGCATAAGCAGTGGGACTCATAATCTGCAATGCATTTTTCATCATATTTAGGACACAAAAGAGGGGTCATTGTGCATGGCATTCCTAGTGGAGACCATGGAAACTGGGACTAAGAATTGTTGCGTTATCAAAGCTACGCATGTTTTGCAAAGAAAGCATAGGAAAGATTAAATTTAGAGCTCTTCCAAAGCCTGTCGGTCCACAAATTCTATTGCTTGGAACAAGCGAACACTATTGAGTTACCGAAAAAAATAAGAATCTTAATTAGCAAAACTGCGATGATCGGGTGTTGTAAACTTTCATTGTGTGCAAATAGGTCTTGTGATAAGCATGTGCTTTATTTTCGACAATGATTGAAATGACGAGCCATGTAAATTACTTTTTTGATCTCTGATGTAATAATTACATCAGAGATCCAAAAAGTAAGAAATTATTTCTCTGGAATCGAGGGCCTTTAATTTTGGTGTATTTATACCCGCGTATTTCCAGTCGTTGCTACCATACGTCCTAAATTAATTCAGAAACAAATAAAAAGTATTGATGTCAATAAAGTAGGAAGTAAAAACCTTTTGCAAGTAAATCCTGTTTCGTGTAGAATTAATCACCTCCTCATTTCTCGATCTAATCTCCAAGCAAGCGAGACTGAATGCCACTGTAAGAGCAGTCTTGTTACATTTGTAGTAACTATGAACTTACCAGCATGCAGTGCTATAGAGGTACGGTGGACCCTTAATTATCTAGACTTGTCTGAAAATCATACAAAAGGCTTATTTTAGGTGTTACTTTAGAGGTATCAAAACAATCTAGTCTGCTACACAGCGATTTTTTGTGACATCACACAACGCTTGTCCCCTTGTGGAGAGGAGCATTGCTTGACAACGCAAAAGATGGCTGTGTTTGGGTCAGATCTGGTCAACCCCTGTAGCTCACTTAATTATAAATGACAAAGACAGAGGTTAGCAAAAGGTTTACAGGGGTGGACCTCATCTGATCCATGCCAGGTTTTCTTGACAGACTTAATCTAGAAGGTGGCTTTGGGGATCGAGCTTCTGCAAAGTGAAAAATAATGTTGCATAAAATTTATGTAATATTGGCCACTAAAATAAAGAAAAAATTTATTCAAAAATCAAACAAAAAATACTGTTGACATCACATTTGAATGCTACTTTCTCTCCAGAAGAAAATTACTTGTACTTCTGTTTCAAAACAATGACTTGTTCTAGTACTTTAAAATAAAAATCACTACTTGAATAGAAAAAATAATAACAAATACATTGTACCAGTATTTCTTTTGGTAAATATACATGAACAAATTTGTGACTAGGAAATACTGCATGTAAACAAAACACTTGAAATTTTGCTGCATGCACTACCCAAATCCATATGTAGCTGTATATGTTACAAGTTAAATTTGATTTCAGGTTAAAATTTTTAAACCTCGGTCCATTCTCAATTTCCTTTGTCCCTCAGGGCTAGGAGACAAAAGAAAATTTAAAATCAAAATTAACCTGAAATCAAATTTTACCTGTAACATACATTTACATCCGACATTCCCCTGTTTTAGAGCGTGTGTCTGTAGCTGGATCCTTGGCTTGGCTGAGAAGTTAGTATGCACTAGGATGTCATCAAGCAGTAATCACGTAGAAGGTACATTATTTTTTTATATTAGCTTTGGTGTTACTTGCAGTCCAACAAACTCAGCCAGGGTCACTGACACAAAGAGATTTGGGGTGCTACCCATTAACATGGGCTAACCTGTCAAGGTAAATGGAAGTGCCCATGTTTCCATTTTTGGGGTTGCTTGTAAACCACTACTTTTATGTGAATGTGAATGTGTTTTTTGTTGGCTAACCCAGGCAGGTCTCAGGTATTTTGAATATTATTGTATTAATAAATTGTTATTAATAGTAACACTTATTTCACTGTTGATCTTAGATTCTTTAGTGGTTCTTTACAATACCACAGCATACCCAAACCTAGATTAGTAACAGGCAGAATTGTCATAACAGAGATAACTTTTTTGGGGGGGGGTGGGGACGGTCTTGAGTCTTAACAGAGTATACAAATTCACTGTTGACGGTGTAAATATTGGCAGTGTATGGTCTAGAGTATGTACACTTGCTGCTGGGAATGTATGATACTAACAATTTTGTTAAAACAATCTAGTTATATGGTGTCAAATTACCTTAACCAGGTAGCTTAGTGAATAGTTTTTTGACTTAAGCAGAGTTTTTAAAAGCCCCTGGCAGCTTACCTGTACCCAAACTTCCCTTTGCACTTTTAGTCCCAAAAGTGATCAACATCAATTTTCTCCTAAGGATGTCAATACGAAATCAAGAGAAAAGGCTATGAGAATTTATAAAATGTCCAATGGTTTTTATCAAGTTCTCTCAACTAATTCTGTAACAATATTATATATAGGATCTGTCTCAAGAATTCGTTTGTGGATATTGGGACTAAGAAGTTAAGGGGCCTTCTC